GTCTCTCTCGCACCGACGCGGCCCGCTCTGTGGGTGCGAGAGAGACGGAGCGACGCGTCCCCGTCCTGAATGAGCGTGCAGCGGTGCGCTACACCGTCGGCCCGTGCGATTGCCGTTACGACGGCCGTCCCCAGGAGTGGCCGGGGAAAAGGAGGGGGGGGGGGAGGTTCGCGGCGGTCGGGGTTACGAGGTGGGCGACGTCCAACTTGGGCGGGCCGCAGCGCCGCCGACCAAAGCCATGTGCGAGAGGAGCGGAGTGACGCCCCTTTCGAAGCGAGATCCGGCCGTCTGCTCGCAGCTTGTGTTTCAAACTTGGCGACGGCAAGGCGGAGGCCGGCGGAGAGCTCGGGAGGAGAAAAAGAGAGCCGCGGGAAAGCAGCTGATGGCGCCGTCTAGATTATCGCGGCCACTCGCACACAAGCGCCTCGCACGCACAAACTTTTGTTCCCCGGACAAAGATCCCTCCCTCGGTTCGGCCGCCAGACTGGAGGCTGTCCGTCGGCGACGCCCCGAAGGGGGCGGTCGGGGCTGCGGGGCTGCGGGGCTCGCTGCGATGTCGCCCCCGGTGCCCCCAGACGGCAGAGCCAAGTTTCCTCAGGATCAATTGGACCCTGGGGCCGCCTCGGGCCCACGGGGGACCAAGGGAAGAGGGCCGGGCCGAGCGAGCGGGGGCGGAAATATCAACAATTATTCCAATCTCTCTTCCAGCAGCAGCAGCAGCAGCCTGGGTCCGAATTTTTCCTCGCGACGCGCTTTCGGGTGGGGGTTGGTTAGAACTCGCCAGCTGCGCCGGGCCGCTAGGCTGATTCCGAACAGCGCTGTCTCTGTCGCTCCACTGCGCGCCTGACGCCTCATGAGTCATGAGTGAGAGAGACAGGGCACTGTTTCGGAATGAGCGTGGGCTGCGCCGGGCTGGCGATGACCTCAGTCCCCTGTCCGTCCAGTCAGCAGCGACCCGACCGCAACACGCGGACGCCCGGCCTGGCCAGCCCGGCGGCACTCGGCCAAGATAAGGGCCTGCGCGACCCTCTTCAGGCCCTTCAGGCCCTTCAGGCCGCCCTGTCCCGCGTCGCGTGAACCCCGCCGCCATGCCGCCCGCGCGCTGCAATCCGTCAGATTATGCGGCGCGTCGCTCCGTCTCTGTCGCACGCATCGAGGCGGCACAGGAGTGCGACAGAGACGGGGAGAGACTCCTCGGAGACCGCCAGCAGAGCGCCTACGCGCCTGTGAGGTAGGCCACCGCAGCCGGCGCGCGCGGCCCTGCGCGGCGGGACTGCCGCCAGCAGGCCGCCGGGCAGAGGCGGGCAGGCAGGCAGGCAGCCCGGGCAGACGGCCGAGCCGATACGATGCGGCCGAGGTGAATACGTTATGAAGGCTCCCTCAAAAGCGCACGAGTACCCGACCGGGGGAAGGGGGCAGGGGGAGTGGAAGGGGGCCATAAATAGTCTATCGCCCCGCTAGACGTGTGCGCCGACCCCAGTTTGGTCGGCGGCGGCGCTTGGCCAATTTAAGGCCGGCGGCGGCGGCGTGATCGGCGTAATCGGCGTGAAAGAAATTTTGATTTTACTGACTATAGGGTCTCAAAATTTTGTCAAACACATGTTAAAAATGATACAAGTGCGCAAATAGAGCAAGTTATTAGCAAATATATACGTTAAATGCGTAAAAGACCATTTACTTTCTGAGTGTTTGATTTTTGGCATCTCAATGAACTACGTCCTTAAGGCGGAGAGAGGGGTGGGGAAGGTAAGCCAAAGTTGGAATGGCAAATTTTTGCCAGAAAAACGCGTTTGGCTCAAGGAAACTTCAGTTTTTCGAGGTATTTTGTGGTCTGAGGCCTTCAGAAGCAAATGTTTCATTCACGCCGATTACGCCGACCGATTCGACCGGCGGCGGCGGCGCGGCTGCCTTCGACGGCGGCGGCGTCGTGACCGGTCAGCGCACATCTCTACGCCCCGCTAGCTGCCGCCCTGCTGCCGTGCAAGACACGCCGTGGAGGCGGTGCAAGCCGGAGGCAGCGCGCTGGGTTTCGCTTTTTATGAGGCGGCCGCCGCCCCCTGCACTGCAAGACAAGAAGCGCGCAACCGCCTGCCTGGCAGTGCCTGCCCAACACACTCACACGCCCACGGACTTTGCAAACACGCCACGCCTGACCTATTGACCCACTTCTCTCCCCCGCGTGACACACACGACACGCAGGGAAAGGGATGTACAGGTGCGTGCGCCTATCCACATCCCCACGACGAAAAAGGAAAGTTAGAGGGAGAGACCGACAGAGAGAGGGCGTGTTTGATTACTGGTGTGTCAGTCGGTCGGCCCATCCATCCCGTGTTCCGCGGCCGTGTCGCCGTGTCACCGAGCCGCCCCCACACTGTGGGCCCACAGACCGCGCGGCGGGGGCGGCAAGCAGGTCACAACGACGCCGTGCCGCCGCCCACGGGACGCGAGCGGCGGCTACACAGTGGGCCAGAAGACCGGTGGAGGCGGTCAAAATCGCAGCTCGCCCACTACTCTTTGTGCGGCACAGGAAAAAGCGGTTCAAGAGGGTTGCGGCCGTGCGGGCGCCGCTGCGCTGCTGGCTTGGAGGAAAAGGGGGACATCCCGGCCGGGGGACGCGGTTTATGGCGGCACGGCGCGCTATGGCGGGGAGCACCACCAGGGTGCCGTCCTGGGGGCGGACTGGGGGTGGCCGCCTGCAACCCAATCAGCCGCCGCAGCCGCAACGGAAACCCCTTGTATGACATTTTGGGGCGGGCGGGGGGCGGGCACGCAGGCCCACGCACGCACTACCACACACACGCGCACACGCACACACACAATCACACTATCACACTCACGCCCCCAAGCACACAGAACCCAGTCCGATAAAGTCCGTGCACACCGAGTGGCCCCCACACAAACACACACACATACACACACACACACACCTGCCCTACCACACCGCGCGCCGTCGTGTCGCGCCGAGCAAAACGCAGCCAGACGTCACGTTTTATGAAGCAAACTTTGCTAAAGTGCGCGTGGCGGGGCGCGGCGGGGCGACGCGCGACTACAAAACGCGGCGCGGGCAGGACGCGCCGCCCCGCGCTGCTCAAGCCCATTCCGACGGCCAGAACAAACGAAAACAAATGACACAAAAGAGTGCCGCCGCCGCGCCTGCGCGGGGAAAAAATATAAAACTCGCGAATGTGAAAGTTAAAGTGAATTCATATTTCTGTCACATTGCAGTCGGCGGGGGCGGGGCGGGGGGCGCGTCGAACGCGAGCACGCCCTGCTGCAGGCCGCGCGCCGCGCCAGCGCAGCCAGGCCGGCGGCCCGGGCCCCCCAGGGCGCCCCAAAACAGTTAGTGGAAGAAGTTGTGGCGGCGGGGAGGAGGCGGGGAGGGGGGAAGGGCGGCCGCGCGAGGTATCAGCCGAGGCCATCGCGACCGATGCGACCCGGAAATTTGGTCAATAAGCTCACCGGAAGCGCGACGAGCGGCGCGGCCCGATGGGGATGCGTGCCAGCGCGGCCGGGGCCGCCAGCCAACTGTGTTGTTGTTGTTGTTTTTCCCCGATTTCGTTCCAGCAAATTAACGGAAGGACGCGCCGATAGGCTCGGCCTCCTCGGCGCGGCGACCGATGGCCGATAGGCCGGCCGGCCGTCCGTGATTAAGGAGGCAGAAGCAAGGCAAAGGTGGAGTCGGGGATTCGGTCCATGGGTTGACTCAGACGAACTTTCGGTCGGAGTTCGCCCGCGTAGTACGCATCTCGTTCGGAGGGCAATCCATTGGTGGGGTGACACGTTCGGTTCGAGTCCCATTTAGCGACTCTGGAGCTCAAAACGCGTCTCGAATTTTGGCCGCCCCCACCGGCCTTCCGGGCCGCGGTGCGACGCCCCGGTGCACGCGCATCGAGTGAGCAGGCCGGAACGCAAACTAGGCGCCGTCAGCGTGCACGGGCAGGGCAGGCAGGGCACGCGGGGCCCACAATGTGGCTTACGTTGCGATCAATGCGAAGGGCGAGACAATGGACTACGGCCCTACGGCCCTGCGGCCGCACACACAGCGCGTCAAATTACCATTGTTGCCGCCGAACACGTCATTGGCGGACGGACGCTGCACTGCCACAAAGGCGCCACAGCCCGCAGGGCGCCGCAGGGCGGACCGCGCGTTTTTAAAGCGACGAACAGGCCGGGCCTACGCTTTTTAATGGGACTCGACAACGCCAAACGCCCGACGCGTCCGTTTCTGTTTCACGGCGGCGCTGTCCGCCGGCAGCCCGCAACAATAACACACACACGCACACACACAACACACACACACACACACACACACACACACACACACACACACACACCTAAAGCCGCATCGAGGCGACGCGTAAAAAAGGAAAAAGAAAGAGAAGCGCGACGACGGGTGATCGAACCGCCGCCTCAGTGACAACAATGTTTTATACGGTGTCGCCGCTGTAAAAGGGGCACTTGAGCCGCTAATAAAAACGACTCTGTGTGTGTGTGTCTGCACTCTGTCTTTTCCCTTGCAGAGAGTCATCCCCCCTGTTCCAGCAGCGGGGCGTCGCAATGCGCGCCACACACACACACACACACACACACACACGACGCTGCTGCGACCGACTCCGACACACTGCTATATACGAGCCCAGGGCGGCACTACTATTCGCAGCTGCGAGCCACTATTTGCAGCCCTGTTTGCAGTTCGCACGCAGAGCACAGAGGGAGCGCTGCGCGGCCTGGCTGGCACCGTCGTCGTCGTGCAAATAAGCCCTCATTTCCGGTCGGCGAGGCAGAGCGGTGTTCCCGAGGCGCCTGCTCGCTCGGAAAGGACTGTACAACGGCCGAGACAAAAGCCCAAATGCATTCCCAATCTCGAGTCGGCACCGCCGACGAAACCTCCTTCCACCGCGAGCCGCGAACGAAAGAACACTTTTTCGGGTACAGAGACGAGGCGACTAGGCGTTGTTCAGAATCACGAGTCCGCTACTTGTAGCAGTGCTGGTACTGACCGGTGCTCTCGGTGCCGTAGACGTCCGGGCAGGCCTGGTAGCGCAGCAGCAGCCGCGACTCCTGGGTGCAGGCCTCCACGGAGGACATGGGCGAGCGGCAGTCCCCGTGGCCGCGGTTGTAGGTGAAGGCGAGCGGGCCGCGGAACGGGCAGGCCACCGGGGAGCCGCCCAGGCGGAACATGGAGAAGAGCAGCGCGTCGCCGGTGATGAGCTTGCAGAGCTGGTCCAGGCTGGTGTGGCCCTGGCAGAAGGCTGCAACAGCAACACGCAAGGAGTCAGTATCATGAAATAGCAGGACTATATCGCGAGGCTGCCGCTGCTGAAATGGGTGTGGCCAACGCGAGGCAGGGCATACCATGACAACTACTTTGACGTTGAGGAAAGTCTTTGATCAGAGCTAGTGGACGCAGTGGTGGGCCAAAGGCATATAAGTAATATTCCATCGTATGTTCGGTCGAAGTATATTCTTGGAAGCAAATTTTCTGAGCCGGTCGTTCCACGGTCCGGACCTGGTTTCGACTCCCCGCGACGGCAAACCATTTCCCCCGTGATATTTCCAGTACGTCCACCACTGCCCGGCGGTCGGCAGCGCAAAGTGACACGATTTTTCAGCCGGCGACGAGCCATCGCTCAGCCGGCCACCCTGCTGGCAGTGCTGGCCGCCCCGCGGAGGGAGGACGTCGTGATCGGTACGCCGATACGGCACTCGTTTGCGCGGCATTAGGTGTTTGTCACGGCCCCGCGCAGCGTCGCCATCAAATATTGCCAGCGCTGCACTGTGCAGACACTGGACTGACTAAATTTAAGATGGGTTTCTTGTCGGCTAATGACCGAGGACATGCACGATAATCAGTCGATACGACCTGACTAATGTTTCTGTCGATATTCGGAATCTTGAATGCCCTCGCGTGCGACGTCAGGATGTTTTCTGCATTATTCATGATTCCGGAAATGAAAGTCCCCATTCGGATACCAACAATCCACAAATTTTTGATAGGACCGACGCAGGAGGATGGTTTGGGGTCTGACTATGAAAGGGCTTTTGCAGTCAGCGGGTTGTGGGTGACACGAGGCTCCGAACGGTAGGTCCCGATTCGACCAGCGCGGTAAAATATCCGGCGCATTTTTACATCGCGGCAACTGAGAAGCGAAAGACAAACGACGGGGCTGACGCACGTCAACGCGAGGGAGGGGTGGGGTGGGGGTCGTCTGGGGAGACACTGTGATTCGGGTGGCAGGCGGGACGGGCGGCCACTTTATACCCAGAGCAAGCGAAGCTCGGCGAAGCTCATGGAGATTCATCACGGCGCTATTACACTATTACACCTCGACGCAGCGAGACGCCGCGAGACGCCGCGCCATTCCAACTCGGGAATGAAAACAATATTTCGAGCCTCCGCGACACACGGCCCCAGACCTTGCGCATGTTGATGCGCGGTCCTTCATCAAGCCCTGGCCGCTTAGAGGCGCCGCGACGCACTTTTTTGGGGGGCAGACTGCAAACAGACCGCGGTAAACAAAAGGCCTCTTTCCTATCAAAATCACAATAAAATAGAACAAAAAAAAAGTGTATCCGGCGAATACCATTAGGACGCTCCACACAATCCCTCTGCCATGCAGATTTCCCTTTCATCTCCCCACCCCCTCCCCACCCCGTCCGTCCATCGGAGTCTAACCAACCGCCGCGGCAGTGGCGTAGCCTGGGCAGTGGCCGAGCAAGTTTCGAGTCATTTTCGTTCTCTCCCCCCCCCCCCTCTCTCTCTCTGATGCGTGCTGGCCGCACTGCTTTGGTGGCCGTGACCACGCGCACTTCGCGCACACTGCGAGTACGAAGCGGGGAGGGAATCGCACGGGAATTTCGGTTTCACGTGACACGGCGCGCTGAAACACAAGGGGCGTGTTTGCGAGGCGGGGCGCGGCGTGGCACGGCGTCTCCCGAGAGCAGCCTCCTCCGCTCCTTCTTTCCACACGTCAAGTTACCCGCCCCTCTGTACAGCAACCCGCTCACACACTGCCAGAAGATAGGGACGCTACGAATCAACGTCTATTTTGCTGACGTGCACCAAAACAAGAAGTGGAGAAGAGATCATTTTAAAATGTTTTAAATACCAACTGGCGTGGCAAAAAACATCACAGAGCATCACTTTCATAGAAGGGTTTCTCCCGTGACGTAATACGTGGATGAACCCTTACACGCACGCCGTTCTGGGACGACGGGTTGCTGGCCTCCGCGGGGGGCTGCAGTGGATTGAGGGCCTCTGCCCCCACCCCCCTCGGCCGCCTGCTCGCACTGACCACCTGTCTACTTGGAGAGATAGAGGCTCCGCCGGCCACCGGGCCGCCACTCCATTACCTAGATCAACTCGATACTAACGCGCCGGGCCTTCGCACAAATCGCTCTCTTTTATCCATTTTCGCGGAGGGAGGGAGGCAAAAAAAGGGCCAGCCTGTTTCAGTGATTTTCCCCCGCTTCTGCTGTGTTTTGGCCAAGGCCTTGGCAGTGTAGGCGCGTATATGGTTGCGCCGATGTGGCGCAGCTCGGCGCAGCGCGAGGCAACGTGGCCCCCCAAGATCCCGTTGTTTTATGAGCCCGGAATTTGCAAGCAACAGTGAGCCCCTATAAACTGGGCGCCAGGAATGTGGCCTCGTCCTGGGCCTCGGCCCGGTCTGGCTCGTTGGGCACCGCGCTGCCGCGGCCTCAGGCCACGCAGGCCCTCTCTAACATATGTACCCGCTCTCTCTCTCTCTCTCTCTCTCTCTCTCTCTCTCTCCCACGGCCATAATATTCCCAGGCAGGGGAAAGGAACAGGTGGTCGAAAGCGTCCCCGAAGTCGCGGTCCGCGCCACGTTCCGCTCACGCTCGGCTTGCGGCACAAAACGCGTTCCACACAGATGGACATAATCCTTTGATCGCGCGACCAGCCCTCTCTCTCTCTCTCCCAGGTGGCGCTGCAGCGGCGGTCGATCGAGGGACGGCCCTTCGCCTCCCCGCCGTTTCCGGGACGGCCCGTCCGAACAGCGGTCTAACTCTGTTACATACCTCTGCCAGGCCCGGCAGCCCGGCCAGCGGGGCGGGGCCTCGGCATGGGCAACGAGGCAGCAAAGGGCATCCTCCACGTCATCGGCGCCTCCTGGAGACTCCGGCCGCCTTCGGGAGGCTCCAGACCCACCGCCTACAAGACCCACCGCCGCCGCGTCACGGCACCGCGGCACTGGCCGAGCGGCTTAATGAATTTACGGTCGTCCTTAAAGTTTGGGCCGCGCTGCTGCGCGCTGCTGCGGGCGGCATGCTCATTCCGAACGGCAGTGGCGTCGCTCTGCACTCTGTCGCACTCGTGTGCCGCCGGCCAGGCCGGCAGAGGTGCGACAGAGACAGACCGACGGCACTCCGGAGCCGCTTGGCAAAAGGGGGGGGGCAACGCGCCTGGAAGGCCTGCTGGAGTCCCAGGCGCGCGAGAATCGCACATGTGAAGCCGCGAGTGCTCCGCACCGCGACCGCGCCTTCTTCCTCGGCTCTTGTGATTATGCACCGCCCGACCTAACCTGGACCGCCACGGGCAACACAACACAGCCCCCCGCCCGCCCGCCCGCGGGGGCACGGAGCACGGCGAAGCACGGCCCCGCCGCGCCCACATTACCGTATGCCGCAAACTAAAGCTCCAAATCCACCGGGGGCGTGCGAAACTTGCGACTCGCAGCAGCAGGTTGCGTGGGGGGCGGTGGGGGGGACACACGGGAACAACGGGAGGGGGGGGGGGAAGAGAACTGACGCACGGGCCCCGCAGAGACTTGGCCCGCAAAAACCAGCCCCCCACTCCACTCCACCCACCCCGCTACCTCGAACACCGCCAGCCTGTAGTTGTACTGCGTTGCTTTCTAATCCAGGGCCCGGCGAACACCTCGCCGTCCATGAGCCGCCGTGATCCTGGCAGCATGGCCCGGGATTCTCCCCCCCCCTCCCAACCACCACCACCAACCTCTCTTACCCCCCCTCCCCCGCCACACGACACGAGTCGTTTCGCACGCCTCTAATTTACAACTCAAAGAAAGCGCGACCAACGCGTGCCGCTACAGCCCCCGTCCCCCTCTCTTTCTCTCTCAATCTCTCTCCCTCACACACACGAGAGGCCGCGCGAGTGTGGGTGCGTACGCGACACAAACGGAAAACAACAGATGAAGAATTATTACGACTCGCCGCGCACGCCACGGCGTTGCTTGAAAAACAAAGAGACAAAAAAGAAGAAGGAGAAAAAACGAGGGAAAAACGAGTGTGTGACAGAGAAAGAGAGGCAGCAGAAGGCAACAAAGAATCTGGCGCACGCGTGGTCGCCCTCGGCAGCGGCTGAGTGTGTCGGAGAGAGAGAGACCTCACCCGCGTCGCAGTGACGCGCCAAAGAAGGGCGGGCGCACTGTCAACACTTCTTTGCTGTCACTAATCACGGACAACGGAAAAAAATCTTTACTACCCCCTCATCAACTGCGTGCATGGGATCCATTGCAAACCAGCTAACTCCCCCCCCTCTCTCTCGCTCTACCGCTGGCTTTGACGTGATTGGCCGCTGAATGAGCGCGAAACGCGCAGGGGCTGCGGCCTGTCAGCCAAAAAGGAGGAACGGTGTGTGGTTTGTCGTGCAATATGTTTCAGCGCGCCATCCAGCATCCGAGTGGACGGCGAATAAATTATGATTCATGCACGAGTAGTGTACGTCCCCCCCCCCACACACACACTGCGAGTACGTGTTGCGACGGCCCCGTTGGCACGCAGAGTGTGCTTTTTGTGATTGGGCCGCCACGCCCTGGCCCCTGGCCGCGAATATTGGCAACGCGCCGCGACACGCCGGGAGTGAGTACGCTACACTCGTAAAGCCAGGTCGGTGCACCGCTCGCTCGGAGAGGAATGCATGCGATGCAGCGTGCACGCAGCGGGTCCGCGTTTTCGGTGATCGGTATTACGCAAATAATTGGACTGAAGCGACACACACATGAAATGGGAAATCGTACGGGGAATTGCTCGGGAATCAAACAACAAATCAAACGAGGAATCGAACGAGGAATCAGTTTGATTCGAGGAGTGGGTTGGAGGCTTATTTGTGGACGATGGGGAGTCTGTCGTCGCGCAGTGTGTCGTGCGTTAGTCTCGCTGCACCCGTCGGCCTCACATCACTCTTTCAAGCTACACAAACAAACCGGCCGGCACACACGCGCGCCAACGCCATGCCCTCCGAAATCATAACTCTCGGCTGCAGCGCGCCGCGTGGCCGTGTGTGGCTGCGCCCGCCCGCCGCGTGCCCCCCAAACAATGCAACGAGGGCGCTTCGGGTTGATTTACGATTGCATATTGCATGCAACATGACCTGCTGCACTCCAGACGCCCCGGCGTCACTCTGACGCTTCGAGCCACAGAGAGAGAGAGAGAGAGAGAGAGAGAGAGAGAGAGAGAGAGAGAGAGAGAGAGAGAGAGAGAGAGAGAGAGAGAGAGAGAGAGAGAGAGAGGAAGATGACAAAAAGAGAAGACTGACACATCATCATGAGCTTATTAAAATACAACCCTACCTGAGGGTGCCCCCTAGTCCCCCCACACGACCGAGGGTACAAAGAACAGCAGAAGAACAAGAAGAAGGGGGAGGAGGAGCGGCGGCGAGCAATTCGTGATGTGGCATTGTTGCCCCGGCATGCCTTTACATGGTTTGCACAGCAAACACGGCGTTCGGACGAAAAGCATCATTATCTCCCCCGATGGAGCGTGCTTGCCTCCCCCCCCCCGCCTGCTGTCTCGCAGCGCAGCGCCAGCAGGGAAGGCAGGTCGTCTAGTCAGTCAGACAAGCGGCGTCACGAAGATTCTACAAAATTGTCAAAACTGGTAGAAACAGTTAAAGGGAAACTTTGCCGTAGCGCTTCAGCAGTCATCATAGTCTTTTGTCAGGGAAGCTAGCCAGAGAAAGAGTGTGTGTTTTAGAGAAAGAGAGAGAGAGGGGGGAGGGATGGAGAGAGACAGATAGTGACAGACAGAGTGCGTGTTGCTGACGTGTCCTTCCCTCAGCCACACGTCCCATTAGGACGAGCCCCACCCAAACACGCGAACCTCACCACTCGGCACAGCAACGCAAACTTCCTCGCCCCCCCTCTCTCTTTCTCTCTTATTAGGCATGTCGATAACGCCGACGCAGCACAGTAACGAACAGAGAAATATAAAATGTGGAAAAAATGGGAAGGCGAAGCGAGCAGCAAGCAGCAGCGTGTAGAGCGGCGCGGATTCAGCGATTTCACGAGAGAAGGGTCGGGATGGACAGCAACGCAAACAAAGGTTGCAAACAATACGGCACCGTACCGTATAAACCCTTGGAGCTCTCTGTTCTCCCCCCCTCCCCTCCCCTCTGGGACCGCTGGCCGGGCCCGCCGGCACCCTTTGAGCCAAACAACAACACGAGCGATCGCCAACGATTGGGCGAAACAAGCCAATACTCACTCTCTTTGTACTGCAGGACGTTGATGTGCTTCTCGTGGATCACGACGCAGCGGAAGCAGGAGCCCTTCCTGCAACAACAAGAGGCACGTCACGTCTCATGCTGGGCCGCAGCCACGACGCAACGCGGTCATCGCTCAGCCGGCAGGCCAGGCCTTTCCATGTTCGGCCGACCGGCAGCCGACCGGCACTTTCGTCGCTCCGTCTCCCTCGCACTCCCGGGGCGTTCGGAGTGGGTGCGAGAGAGACAGAGCGAGGAAGCCGCCGCCGGGCTGATCCGTGCGATGCAAGGCGCCAATGGCGGCCGTGGCGTCTGTTCCACGTCAGATTACTCGCCGGGATGCGATTTCGTTAAGAGCCGCCGCGCGATATTTTTCTCTTCCTTTCGTTTTTAGCGGTGGCGCCGCGGAGCCGAGGCGCAAAGCCGAGCCGACATCGAACACTGGCGGCAAGGGGAAGGCCGCCGCGAAGAACGCCGAGCTGACCGCCGAGGCCGTCAGCCAGCAGAGTTTTCAACTGTGTTTGGCTCAAAGCGAATACAAAGTGGAACCGATGGCTTCCGCTTAGAACGAGGGATGGCACCGCGATGCAGACACATTTGACGGCCCGAATGAGAAACTCGGCCGGAGTAAAGCGAGTTTGTGGCCCACTCTGCGCCGCCGCCATGTTGGACCAAGCACTGCATGCAAGCAAACTGGCACTTACTCGTCCACGACGAGGTACTTCTCGCCGTCCGACGCGACGCAGCGGCCCTTGTTGCTCAGCCGGTTGTGCAGGATGGTGATGCCCTGCCGCACGCCGCTCTGGAACCACTGGCCCTCCCAGCGGCTGGGGAACCGGCACGACCCTGCAAAGCAACAAACAGAACAATGTCAATGGGTCAACGGTCAGCGAGCGCGCCGTACGTTGCAATCAGGCAGCCAGGCAGGCAGCCAGGCAGGCAGCCAGGCGGGGCTGGCAGCCCAGTAATGACCGTCCGTGGGCCGTCCAAACGGGCCGAGAAACCGTCGCGAGAAAATCCCGAAATCCCCCCGGAAGAAGCGCCCTGGACGGCGCGGGGGCCGCGGGGGCCGCGCGGGGCACGGGGGCACGAAGGGCTGCGTGGGCGGCGGGGGCCTCGGGGGGAGTTAGCAGGGCTTTGGACTGCGGTGACCCGAGAGGAACTAGGGTCGCCAGGCTGCCAGGCCACCAGGCCGACACCGCGCCGAGCTGATCAGTATCTTGTTCGGGTTCACGCCGGAGATCGCCCCGCCCTGCCCCAGCAGATCTCGACACCAAAAAACGCGCGCCTCCGTCGCCAGGTCGTACCTCTCGCTGGAGTGGCCGCTGGAGTCCGGGCCAAACTACTCGAGAAATACACGCGTGGCGCACGTGTCCACCAGGTCAGCCTAGGGTTGCCACGTGCCCGCCGCGGCCTAGGGTTGCCACGGGGCGACCGCAATGGCCGGCCAGCTGCGAGGTGAGCCCGCAGACATTAAGTCCGCCCAAAGCCCTACCTGGCCCTGCCCGCCCTGCGAGGGCCTGCGAGGGTGCGGGCCGGGGGGTCTTTGGGCGCCCTGCCCCCGCCCCGCCCCCACCCTGCCGCCCCCGCGCCGCCCCCCGGTCGAGGGATCCCCAGAAAGAAGGGATTGGCCGGGGGCCTCGGCCAGGCCAGCCTCCTTGGATTCTAAACCATCAGCTTTGGCGGAGCTACCCGCCGAAAAACAGCAACAGGGCGTAACACGTGCGGCCCAGCAGGCGGCGGGCTCGTTTCGAGAGGGAGGCATCTGTCTCTCTCGCACTCAGGGGCACGTCGAACGCGTGCGAGAGAGGCAGAGACAGGCGGCTGAAGCAGCCTGCAGCAGCCTGGCCGCCTTGCTGCCACCGGCGAGTTATTTAGTTCCCGAATTGATGGACCCGGCCCGGCCGGCTCGCTGCCTCCAGCAGCAGATCGACTCGTCGCTCCGTCTCTCTCGCACCCTTACGGAGCGCCCCGCGAGTGCGAGAGAGACAGAGGGACTGGCCAGGGCCGGCTCGAGGTCGTCCGGGTCGTACAGCCTTGCTGCCCATTTTTCTTGGGTCTGCGCGCGATAGGGTGAAATCAGCTGTGAACTAGATCGGGCCGGACCGGTCCGGGCAGCTCCACTCGGGGCAGCCCGGATTAAATCCAAGACAAATTTTTACCCGTCCGGCGGAGCGAGAGAGACGGAGAGTGGCTTGCCTTGCCCGGCCTTGCCGCGGACGGGGAACCTCTCAGGGGCGGCCAGTCACACGGCCGCCCGCCTGCGCCCAATTGCGGCCCAAGAAAAATAAGATTGGGAAAATAGGGCGTGGCGGCGTGGCGGCGTGGGCGGAGCGACAAGGACAAAGCGCCGGCATGGCGGCGCGCTGGGCCGCGGCGAGGCGACGGAGGGAGAAGGACGCCTGCGAGGTAGGCCTGCCCGCCGCGCGCCGCTGCCGAGCGGGCGGCCTATGCTGCCGATGGCAGGCGCTGAGGCCGAGGCTGAGGCCCGGCGGAGCCATTCCGAGCGGCGCTCTCTGTCTCTCTCGCACTCGCGGCGCGCTCCACGCGCGCGAGAGAGACAGATAGAAGTGAGCCCGCAGCGTCGCGGCCGCGAGCCAAGCCGAGCGGAGCGACAAACGAGCGTGTCCATACGCGGCGCGGGGGGCATTGCTTTGGCGGGGCAGCCCAACGGGGCAGCCATCCGTCTCCCTCGCACTCGCAGTGCCCTCGACGAGGAGGAGAGCGAGGAATCGATTTGACGCGCGAGGCATCGATTTGACGCGCAAGCCTCGCAAGCCGCGTAAGCACCCCCTGGAAATTCATTCACCGAGCCTCTGAGCCGCGGCGCCGCGGCGCGTCGAGCCAGGCTGGTTCCGAAAAGTACCTCCCTCGCGCTCCGTCTCTCTCGCACTCACGGGCCGCTCCGAGAGGGTGCGAGAGAGACAGAGCGACGCAAACACTGCGAGGCCGCTGGCCGCGCGCCAGGCACCCCGACGGCCGCGGTCAACACATCCATTACACTGTGAAGCAGTCCGAGGGCCCCAGAGGGGGCCTCCAGGCCGCGGGGGCGGGGAGCCACCTGCGGACTTGTTCCGAGTCTTCCTCGTCGCTCTGTCTCCCTCGCACTCATGCGGCGTTCCGTGGAGGTGCGAGAGAGACAGAGCGACGAAAGGGACTCTGCCGAGGGGACGCCGCGTCGCTCGCCGCGAGGCCGGGCCGCGTAATACGCCGCTGAAAAGGTAAGGAGCGGGCGGCTAAAGGTCGTTAAGGGGCGCACTATGACAGTTTGGGGTTGCAAAGGGGGCGGGGGCGGCGCTTCAAGACGAGGCGGGAGAGAGAGGGAGAGAGAGAGAGAGAGAGAGAGAGAGAGAGAGAGAGAGAGAGAGAGAGAGAGAGAGAGAGAGAGGTGCACAGAAAGGAGGGAAAGCCAAGTCTCCTCAACGCCGTGGTGCCCTGTTCGGCGGCGACCTCGACGGGCTCACCCTACGATTCCTTCCGCACGCCGCCGACGTCACTCTGTCTCTCTCGCACTCTCTGGTCGGGGCGCTGCGTCCCGCAGGTGCGAGTGCGAGGAGAGAGAGAGTGCCGCTGCGTAATGTATGTCATCCGGGACTGCACTTTAAAGTTATTCGGCGCGAACGGCGAGGCGGTCTGCGAGGCGGTCTACGAGGCGGGCGGTCCGGACGCCGGGACGCCCAGAGGCTAGCGCCAGGCAGCGCGCTGCGGCGGCGGAGCAGTGGAAGGTCAAGGAGCGCCAACTGCGAGCAGCGTGATGAATATGAAAATTTCATTCGCAAGGAAGGGACTTCCAAGGGCTCATAACCGGAGGGCCCTGCTCTGCCCGCTCCGCCCGGCCAGAGGGAAGGGGGTCGAAAAAGCACCAGGTTTCGGGAGGGGCGGGGCGGGGCGCGCCACGCCCAAAGGGATCCCGAGGAGACTGCGGCCCACAGACTCGCAATGCTGGCAATGCGGGGAGCCGAAATCACAGAGGGAAAGAACACAGCGGCGGAGGCCAGGGCCAGGCCGGCGAGCAGCCAGGCAGCAGCCAGGCAGCAGCCGGCCCCCGGTGACGGATAGCCTCGACAGAGACGAGCGCCGAGCCGCGCCGAGCCGGGCCGCGCGCACTCTTGGCACCGCCGTCGCATTGGGTCCCTCCGGATTTCACTTCTTTTTGCCCATTCTTTTCATTTTTTTGGTAACTTGGTTAAGAAGTTGGCGATCCTGTTATGCCGCGGAGTCGTCGTCGCTCGCGATGAATGGACGCGACGCACCGGCCGGCACACTGAGAGTCGTTTTCGCCGCTCCGTCTCTCTCGCGCCTGAACGGGACGCCCCACGAGTGCGAGAGAGACTCTGCCGGCCCGAGGCCGGGCCCGGGCTGCACTGGCCGTCCCTTTGTGGAGGACCAAAGTTGGAGCGGGCCGCTCGGGACAGCTGGCGCGGCTGGAGGGGCCGCCCTGCACCGCCGCGACCACGCCAGCACGCCACTCAAAAAGGAGAGGGGCCGCCAAGTTCAATCCGCGGGTATAAATGCCGCGAGCACCTAATTTATGAACGACCCCCACCCCCGCCCCTCGCGGCCTAACAAATTAACGGCACGCCATTTGGGGCGCACGGCGCGCGGCGCACGGGGGGGAGCGGGCCGGGGTTACAGTGGCGCGGCGGAGCGGGGGAAAGCTCAGCCTCTTCCAAGTTTCGAGGTGCCTCTCTCTCTCTCTAAGCCGCGGTTCGCGGTGCAGTAATCAGGTGTCGAGGCGTCCCCGCGCACTCGATACGAGAGGGCCGTCGTCCTGTCTCTCTCGCACCCACCCGGAGCGCACCGGGAGTGCGAGAGTGAGAGAGAGACCTCAGAGAGCCCACTGGTGCATCTCATGTGGTTCGACAGCGGCTCATTCCTGGAGAGAGCGCGTCTCTCTCGCACTCATGTGGCGTCCCACACGGGTGTGAGAGAGAGGGCTGGCGCACGCACTGCTCGCCGTGGCATCGGCCGCCATAAACTTCCCTCTTTGTGGCTGGGCGGGGGATGGCGGGGGACCGATGGGACGCATGGGGGAGAGAGAGAGAGAGAGATAGGGGGGTGGATTGGCCGCACGAAAAATTCTAAATAGAAAAGGAAGAAGGGCGAAATTAGAGGCGCGGCGCCGCCGAGGCGTTCTTCGGGGAGAACAAAAAGAAACACACGGACAAACTTGTTCCGACATTTTTCTTTCCTATTCAAGGGGCCCCGCCCCGCCCCGCCCCGCCCCGGCCGGCCTGGCGCCTCCTCCCGATGTTGTACTTTTGTTTGACACTTTTTATTCACTTTGCCGCCGCTATTTTATTGCGGGCTGCGAGTTTCATTTCGCTTAGTTGCGCAGTGGGCAACTTTGGTGTCGTCCCATTTGGCGGACTGAGGCACTGTGGGACTGCGGGGCCGCGAGGAGGAGCGGCATCCGGCGCGGTGTAGTGGCCTCTCCGTCTCTCTCGCACCTGTGCGGCACGCCTAATGAGTGCGAGAGAGACAGAGCGACCGCTGGGCGGAGTCGCTCGGCCTGGCGGGCTGGAGGACTGGAGGAGCGCTCTTAATGTTGTACAGTGAAGATTCTCCACATTATGGTGAAAATGTTCCATATCATGGTGGAGCGCAGCTGACTTCGTAACCTACCATTGAGAATTCACTGAACCTTCTAGATATTTTGACGAATTTTGTTGGTATTATGGAGAGATTCCGAGAGTCGCTTTCGTCGCTCTGTCTCTCTCGCACTCGTGGGGCGTCCCGTATAGGTGCGAGAGAGAGAGACAGAGCGACGAAAACGACTCTCGGCCGCAGCGAGGCCACGCCACGCACCGAGCAGCGCCGCGCTAGATTATCCACCAGAGGCACAC